GGCCAGGCTGGTCTTGAATTCCTGACTTCAGGTGATCAGCCCGCCTCGGTCTCCCAAAGTGTTGGGATTACAGGCATGAGCCACTGCACCCGGCTGACACTGGTTTGTCAATGGCATCAACAACAGGAAAAGTCAAGTGCCAGTAGGAGCTTGAGGACATGGAGAGAGGTACTGGACACAAGATAATCAGGAGATGTCACTTGATTGCCACATTTGCAATTTCTTGAGCAAGTTTAAACATCATAAGAATGCAGAGAACTTTTTTGAGTAAATTTCTCAAGCCATGTTGCATAAGTTGTGCTCCTGGGGCCAATCCTGGCTGATCCACACACATGGGGAATGCTTAACACTAAGCAGGAGAAAGCAATTGGATTTTGCACAGGTAGGTGACCAAAGGTGAATAAAGCAGTCCACTGGTGGCCTTGAACAATCAGAGACATGAGACTTGTCACATGATGACCCTCCTGTAGCACATTCAAACCCCTGCTGATCACAAGCCTCCTCCAGAATTCAAAATTACCCAATGGGAATCAGATACCATCTCCCATTGCTTTTCTTGCTTCTCTGGACCATACTGTTAGCTTTCTGTTCATCACCCCTATCCTAAGGTCCAGTTATGCAGGGCAGGGGTCATTTTGCAATTATTTAAAAGGCTCATGGGTGAGAGGCAGTGGCTCCCTTTTCCTTTGTCATCAGCTTATCTAACATAAGATGGTTGATTCTGGCACAGTTCCTCCTCCTTTTTCTTTTTTTCCTGGGGAGTTTCCAAATTTATTGCTTATCAATGGACTCACCTTGGAAATTGAGCTGTAAAACACCACAATAGAGGATAGTCTTGGTTGCCAAATCTGTTCCCCTGCCAGGGCAGTGTTGTATACTTCCAAAACTTTCTAGGTCTCCTCCAAATGACTCAAGGGATGGGAATTTCACCATCTCTCATGGGAGGTTGTTTTACAGCCTCTTACATCTTACCTATTATGAAAGTTCTTCTGATGAAACATTTTTTTTCCCCTTTGGTTCATTCATTACCGTTAGATAATCCCCTAAAGAGCACCTTCACAATCCCTCTCCTTCTTTGGGGCTTATGCCTTCAACTCTCTGCGCATGGTTATCAGGCCCCCATCCCACACACATGCACCTACACTCCTTAGCTCTTCAGCCAGGCCTACCCACATGCAATTCTTTTCATCTTTCCTCATACATCAAAACCTCAAGTGAATTTGAAGGGAGATTATGGCTCTCTTCTCAAGATTTTCTCACGTCAGCTGCATCCCTTCTCCTCAACCACATACCAGGTTTGTGTACGCCAGTAGTCATTCACCAATGGAAATGAGGTTTTTCTGGAATGCTGTGTTCTATAGCTAAAAAAAAAAAAGATTCCTTCTACCCAGAGCTCATATCTAGGTTGGATCAATATTTATACAAACTATAGTAAGGAGGAAAAATCTAAAAGAAGTCTGGAACTACCTTAAATCTCCAACCCACCAAGAAACTTTTAAACTACAAGTAAAAATCTCAAAATAATATATTTCCCTTAAACATAGGCTATGAATTAATAAAAGAAATTCAATCACCTTTTGGTAAAGAAAGTATGAAAGGATTGACTACTCATTTCTTTATGGATGAAAAATTAGCATGGATGAGTGCCCCAGATGAAAAAGAACCGTTCCTTTTTTTCTTGTTTTGTTATTTCCTTCCCACTGACTTTGTCAGAAGCCACCTCCTTTTGTTCTTCAACCACTCTGAATAGCTGGTAGTTTCCATGCTCTCTGAAGGGATTCACATACACCACCGTCCTCGGTGGCAATAGGGACCACCAGGAGGGCCTCACCCTCGTTATGCAACCTCAGGCCTTCCTCCTCCTCTGTTTTCTCCCAAATGCACTGAGCACCAGCCCTAGGGGCATCACAGACATCTTCAGAGCCCAAGACCCCACCTATCATTCCTACGCTTAGAAGGAACCTCTCCTTTTCCAAACCTTCCCATCCAAACCCGATGGGGCTCTTCCTTCCCAAACCTTACCCATCCATCAAGATCTAGCTTCTGTTTCATTTCCTCCAGAGGAAGCTGCCTTTTCCTCTAAACTTCATAATGTTTAGTGTCTATACCATTAAAATATGCTACTTCGCATTATTCATGCCTCCATTTGCTGCTGCTGATTTTTTTTTTTTTTTTTTTTTTTTGGAAACAAGCTCTTTCTCTGTCACCAAGGCTGGAGTGCAATGGCATGAACACGGCTCACTGCAGCCCTGACCGGGCTCAAGCAATCCTCGTGCCTCAGCCTCCCGTGTATCTGGGATCACGGACATGCATTACCATGCCCAGCTAATTTTTTGATTTTTTTGTACAGACAGGGTGTCACTTTATTGCCCAGGCTGGTCTTGAATTCCTTGCCTCAAGCTCGGCCTCCCAAAGTGCTGGTGTGAGCCACTGTGCCTGGTCCGTTTGCTCCATTTTTTAAAGTTTTATTTTATTTTTAATTGATAAATAATAATTCTATATACTTATGAGGTACAATGTGACATTTTGATACATGTATACATTGTGGAGTGATCAAATCAGGTGAATTAGCATATTCACCACTTCAAATATTTATCATTTCTTTGTAGTAAGAACATTTTAAATCCTCTTTTTTAGCTATTTTGAAGCACACAGTACATTATTAACTGTAGTCACCACACTGTGCAACAGAATACCAGAACGTATTCCTCTTGCCTGACTGAAAGCTTTTATCCATCGACCACTCTCTTCCCCTCTCACCCACCCTTCACCCCTAGGCTCTGGTAACCACTGTTCTACTCTCTACTTCTATGAGTTCAATTTTTTTAGATTCCACATATAAGTGAGAGCATAGGGCATCTGTCTCATTATGCCTGGCTTATTTCACTTAACATAATGTTCTCTAGGTTTATCCAGGTTGTTGTAAGTGACAGAATTTTCTGTTTTTTTTTTTCAAGGCTGAGTATATTATATTGTGCATATATACCACATCTTTTAAATCCATTCATCTGTTGATAGATACTTAGATAGTTTCCATATCTTGGCTAGTGGCTATTGTTAATAATCCTGCAATGGACATGGGAAAGGAGACATCTATTCAACACACTGATTTCAATTCCTTTGAGATTCCTGGAACATATGGTAATTTTATTTTTAGTTTTTTTTGAGGAACCTCCATACTGTTTTCCAAGATGTCTGTACTAATTTACACTATAGCCAAGCGTACAAGGGGCCCCTTTCCTCCACAGCCTCATCAACACTTGTTATCTTTCTTTTATCTTGAGACAGGGTCTTGCTCTGTTGCCCAGGCTGGAGTGCAGTGGTGTGGTTTCAGCTCACTGCAGCCTCAATGCCTCAGCTTCCCCAGCTCAAGTGGTTCTACCATCCCAGCCACCTGAGTAGCTGGGACTACATGCACACACCCCATGCCTGGCTAATTTTTAAATTTTTATATTTATTTATTTATTTATTTATTTTTGTAGAGGCGGTGTTTCACCATGTTGCCCAGGCTGATCTTGAACTCCTGAGCTCAAGTGATCCTCCTGCCCTGACCCCCCAGAGTGCTGGGATTACAGGTGTGGGCAACCACACCCAGCCAAGTGTCCTTTATAGGGACACTCAAGACTGATTATTTTGACAAGGCTGATGTTCTACTGAATGTGAAGGTGAGCTTCAGGCCCGTGAGTAGCCCTAGGTGGGGAGCCAGGAGTTTGGAGAGGAAAGTCTCTCCTCCAGCCTCAAGGAAGAGAAACTGCAGGGTGACCACCACCACCTGTGGTGGAGCTGGGGCAGATGATCAGAGGCTGGAGCAGGGCATAGGCAGGAATGTGCTTGGGGGCCCATGCCACAGTTTTAATTCAGAGACCTGCGGTTATAAAGAAAGCAGATCAATCCTGATATCACAGATATCACACGTAGTTCCATTTTGTGCTCAAGCTCACAATTCTAGGCCCAGGACTAAGCAGAGCCATGGGAAAAGGTTCCTAGCTCAGCTGGGTCCATATATCCACTCCCCTTTAGTCTCGCATCATACTGTGTTTGTCCTTTGTTCTCTGATCCAGCCTTCCAACCAGGTCGTAGCCTTTTTCCCATACTGAGCCCCACACCCTTAAAGAACCCCCTCTCTTGGTGTATCTCACCCGTAAGCCATGGAAAGGCAAGCCTCAGAACAAGGAATATAGACAACCTAGACTCTGCGGTCCTCTCCTCTGCCCCCTCAGCGCCCTGAAGTATGTGACACTGGGGTTCCTCCTGCCACTGTCCTTTCCCCGCGGCTGAGAGGGTGAAGTGAGGGAGGGGAGCCGCCTGTCTCTACTCCACCAGGGGACAGCTCAAGGTGAGACAGGACGGGAACCTCAGACCCATTGGCTGAGCCTGGGAGGTAGGCAAAGCCTGGGAGGGGGGCAGCGCTCTTCAGCCTTCCTCCCTGGCCTCGGTCCCCACCCCAATCCATGTCGGCCCTTTCAGGAGCTTTTAGTGGGAATGAGCTCAGACCCACAGCACAGGCCCCGGCTCCCCTCCCGTCTCAGCTCCTCCCATTGCTCTTTGATCGTCTCTTCTGTCCGACCTCTGAGCCGTCTCTCCACCAGGCACATCTGCAAGCAGCCCCCTTCATCCCCAGCATCGCCTCTTCCTCCCGTTTCTCCTTCCACTCCCAGTTCCACATCCTCCTCCTATTCCCCTCTCTTCCCTTTTCAGACCCCCACCTTCCAGTTCCCTCACCTCCCCTTTCTGCTGGTCCCTGGGGCTTGCAGCAAGAGGGAGAGACAGCTCCTGACAGGATTGATGGTCCTTCCCCACCCTGTCCACTCATCCGCTCCCTCCCCAGCGGGCACAGACATCCCCCTACAAAAGGCAGGAGCCCAGGCTGTGTGGAAACAGCTGCTCTCAGACGCCCTTCCCTTTGCTCTCTGCTGGCTAGGCTGGGCTGCGCCTCTGCTCCCTCTTCCTCCAGCTGAGAGTGGGCACCTGGGGCACCAGGCCCCCTTACCTCATTTCTCATGAATGCTGTGGAAATTCCTGAGGGGCAGGAGCTGCAAAAGCTGGGGAGTGGAGCCTGGGACAATCCCGCCTACAGTGGTCCCCCTTCCCCACATGGGACGCTGAGGGTCTGCACCATCTCCAGCACAGGGCCCCTCCAGCCCCAACCCAAGAAGCCTGAAGATGAACCCCAGGAGACGGCACACAGGACTCAGGTGTCCAGCTGCTGCCTCCATATCTGTCGAGGCATCAGAGGTACTGGATAGAGGGAGGGTTCTTCTGGGATATTAGAGTCAGGAGAAGGAGTCATCAAAAGCTTTTGGGCAGGGGGTGGGGGTGGAATGTGATCTGAAGAAGAGGTGACCTTTCAGTGTCACTTTGGGGTGTGTGAATTGCTTGTGGCAGTGCTGCACGCCCCAGAACACAGAGACCAGCTAAGCGGTCTACCGGTTGTGGGGAGCCTGGCATGGTCATCACCTGGGGACCCAGAGGAGTATGTGGGAGCTGGTTTGAGGGAGGATGTGGATGTGAGGATGCCCTGGACTATCCCACCTGGAACAGGTGCCTCCTTTCCATGCCTTCATTCTCTATGAGCCAGGGCCTTCACCTCTGTCGACCTCAGGGAGTTGATGGGAAGGGCAAGCATGGGTGTGGGTAGAGTAGCCAGATTCAGCCAAGGATGAAGGTGATGGGCAAGGAAGGGCAGGGGGGAAAGGGGCTAACGTCCATGGACAGATGGGTGGGGATGACTGGGAGGAACACTGCCACTGAGGATCCCAGGCATCTCTCCCATGCCCCTTAGGACTTTGGGGAACAACCCTGACTGAGAACACAGCTGAGAACCGGGAACTTTATGTCAAGACCACCCTGCGAGAGCTGCTGGTATATATTGTGTTCCTGGTGGACATCTGTCTATGTGAGTAGCATCTGTGTTTGTGTACCTCTGTCTGAGAAACATCTATGTGTGCTCCATCTGTATAAACATTCCTGTGGGTAACACCTGTGGAGCCAGCATCTATCTGTGCAAGCAGGCTACATCCGGGAACTTTAGATAACAATATTCCAATCCCATCTATTTACCTTTGCAGCTTAAGATATTTTGTTTAAAAGGAATATATCAGAAGAGGAAGGCAGTTTGGTCAATAATTACAAGGGGAAACCAGTTTTTAAGTTCACTTTGCGGCCATTGTTTTCTATTGACTGAAAAGGTGAAAGGTGAACATTTTTTACCCTTCTGTAGAGAGTGGGCTGGCACGATGGCTCACGCTTGTGACCCCAGCACTTTGGGAGGGCGAGGTGGGCACATCACCTGAGGTCAGGAGTTTGAGACTTGCTTGGCCAACATGGTGAAACCCTCTCTCTATTAAAAATACAAAAATTAGCTGGGTGGCAGGTGCCTGTAATCCCAGTTACCTAGGAGACTGAGGCAGGAGAATCGCTTGAACCCAGGAGGCAGAGGTTGCAGTGAGCCAAGATCGCGCCACTACACTACACTCCAGCCTGGGGGACAGAGCGAGATTCTGTCTCAAAAAAAAAAGAGTGGAAAACCACTCCCTTCTGTTTGGAAAAATAGTTTGGTGGGCTTCACATAGTTATTATACTATATCTGATTCATGTTTCTTTAGAGGCAGTAAAAGAATGGAAGAAAAAAGAGAGGAAGTAAAAGATTCAGGTGACCTTAGATCTCAGATCCCTGCTAAGAGAGGGAGGGAGGGACACACATGGAGTGGTGATGGTCCCATGTGAGAGACCACCATGCCACGCACCATTGGAGGAAGCTTATTGAGGCTCTAGCTATAGACACAAACTGAGAAGGTTTGATCTCTAAGTTGAGAGAAGCAAGTGAAAAGATAGGAGGGCGACTATGGAAAGATAGCGTCAAAGAACTGTAAATAATAATACAACTGGACCAAACAGATGCTGTTAGACCTGTAGGTGATGACAGCACATTGCATTTGGTTTATTACTTCTTTCAAAAATTGCACAAGTGATGTTTGCCTAGTTTAATATAGTTGTGTGTGGAGCCGTGGTTTGATTAAAGCTGTAGGTTGGACCGTACAACTAAGGTGCCCTCATTATTAGGTGTTCTAGGCTCCACAATACTCTGTTCTTGTCAGGGTGCACAAATTTTTTGCAAGTGGAGTCAGAGAGTCTTGTAACATCAATGTTGATGGAACGTTTTCTTGTTTTTTGAGCCACCCACATTTGTGTGAGCCCTCTGGGAAAGCTAGCAGAAAGCACTGGTTCTGGCTGTGCTCTGCTCTATTGGAACTCACTCCATTCTGGACAGAGGGGACAGTCCTCTGTGTTTGCCACTGGCCACCTAGCAGGGAGTGAAAGGACGCAGTGCACGTGGGGAGCAACGGCTAGCCCAATGTACATTTTGTGAAGCCCTTTCAATTCCTTTTAGCAAATGGCTGTCAGAAATTCATTTGTTGACGTATTGATTTTTTTGTCCTAACCATCTGCTAGCAAGGAGAAGTCATCTCCTTTTTCAGATCCCATGACAGCAGCTGAAACCCACAGGCAGAGCCTTTCTCTAAAATGACTTAAACATCTCTCTTTCCAGATTAGCCTCTGGAACAGGACTGTTTCTAGCTCCCCAGAGTTACAGTGAACCATTTCTAACTCCATTGTATGGAGCTGGAAAGAGTGGAAGCTTGGGTTCTGGAAGTCCAGGAGTCCAATCCACTCATGTTCTCTGCTTTCTGAGATCTCAGTGCACTGATGCATTGCCGGATGGTCTGTGACTTGCCAAAATCTGAGTTATAGACTTAGTCCAATAATTACAGAATCCTTGAGTGGACGCGGGCTTTAGAGGTCATCTAATTTTAGGATGCAGAATGTGTGGAATCCTTTCTCTGTGGTCCTTCCCATGGCGCTCTGTCAGGCGGCCAACCAGCCCAACCGGGGGAGTGTCAATGGGGCTGTCACTGTTTCATGAGGCAACCCATTCTACTACTGGGCAGCTCCGTTTCCTTCCTCTTATGGAGCCCCCTCCTCTGAGCCAGACGTTGAACTGAGAAACATATAGATGACAGATACTTGGGCCTTTCCCCTCAGAGGCTCACTTCCTTTTTAGAACTTTCTTCTATTAAGCTAACTACTGATGTGTCCCTGTTACTCTCTGAAGTGACAACCTTTCAACTGTTTGAGTGAATATAGCTTGCTCTTGGTCATCTGTTCTCTAGGTTAGATAACTTCTATTTTATCACTAATCTAGTCATGATACTGTGGTTTTCAGAGGTAGTATTATGCAGGGATTGAAGGCATGGGCTCTGAATTTGCACAGGTTTGGTCAAACATCGTGCACTGCCATTCACCATTTGAGGGCCCTCGAGCAATTTGCTTAACTTCTTTGAATTTCAGTTTCCTCATCTGTACTTACCCAATCCAATAGGATTATGTGAGATAATAGCCATGAAATCATTAACTCAGTGCCTGGTATGTATTAAAAGCAATTTTGGAACGTTCTCCATACTGGTTGCCTGCCTGCAGACTTCATCTACGTGATGCCTGGCACTGGACAAAATATGCCACGGACAATCTGACCAGCACAGAGTACTGCGATGCCATTATTTCTGTTGTACCCAGATTTGGGGGATCTGTGAGGAAATGCAGAAGTGATATCTGAGCTAAAACCTGAGAGATATGGAGGATTTATCCCCTTGAAAGGGAGGTGAATAGAAAGGAATTCCCTGGGAAGAGGGGACAGCATGTGCCAAGGCCCAAAAGGGACAGAGGGCACAGTTTAGTTAAAGTGCATCAACGTGGCTGGAGCAGAGAGTTTGAGAAGCAAAATGGCAAAAGACGACAAGGCTGGCCTTATAAGAAGTGGCTGATCATGAGGGGCGTTATAAGGCATGATAAAGAATTTGGACTTTATTCTGAGGGGTCCAGGGAGAGCTATTGAAGAGTTTTAAGCATAGGAGTGACATGACAAATTTTAAGTTCTCCTGAGGAGAGGACAGAAATATAAACGTTGGGTCACAGAAATATCTCTGGAAAAGTTGAGTAGGGAAGATAATAGTCCTGTGCTAAGGATATTAATGGGATTTTTAAAAACAAAAACCTTACAAGGGCCACTGAGTCAATCTGGTGGCAGTATAGCATGCTGGTTAAGCAGTGAGGCTCTGAAGTCGACTATGTGGGTTCAAGATCTGGTGCTTCCCCAACTATCAGCTGTGTGATCCTGAGCAAGTTTGCTAACCTCTCTTATCCTTGGATAATGATCAGACCCACCTGAGAAGATTATTATGCAGGTTAAATAAAATAGCTCACTAATATGCTTAGCACAGTGTCTGTCTGGCACGTGGTAAATAGTGCCTATTGTCTTCAAGTCACAACAGGCACTGTAAAACTATAAATGTGGCATCATAAACCCAGCCAGCAGTGGAGGGTGAGGAAGAGAGAATTAATCTGATACCTTTAAACCTCAGAAAACCTCCAAGTCCTATGGAATTGGGCTCTAAATAAAGACCCTGAAATCGTTAGACTACCTGAAAATGTGCCGTTTAACTGCCTTGGGCCTTGAGAATTAAAGTCCACACTTGCAAAGTGCCGGCCCCACAAGAACTTTTTATGAAACAGAATTAGGAGGCCTTCACATTCTGATTATTCCTACAACATTTAGTAAGATAAAACTAATACTAGTTTCCTAGCCCCTGCCTCTACCTGCCTCTTCCTTTCAGACATATTTTCAGGCAACATGGAGCCTTGGAATGGCCTCAGGAGGGCCACTTCAGCGCTCTCCAAGGTCCTGCCCTCGCCTCCGTGGTGTCTCAACTCCCTGTTAACCTCCCTGAGCTCTGGCCAACTGCATCTAGACCATATGTTCTCAGTGGGGATGATGTAGCCCCCAAGTGTGTAAAAATAGTTTCTCCAAGGGCAAAAACAATCCTTTGGATATTACAATGGCTTTTGGGCCTCCAAAGAGCCACGGTACATAAGAAAATGTAGAGTCTGTCTGTGGTATTGGAATTGGGAGTGATTAGGAAGAAAATGTCTAAAGAGACTTCAGGGGAGACGGATAATGTAAAAAAGGTAAAGAAACACTGAACCAGATCCACTTAATTTGGCTAGTCAGTATGCTGACTGAGCTCTCCTGCCTAAGGATTGGGAATACAAGTTATAAGACTGAAAGCTGGCACCAAGCGGGGTGGCTGTTGCGTTGCTCTATCAGGATGCTGTTTTCTAAGAATTGGAGTGACATGCAGTTGGATATGCAGCTGTGCCAGTGTGCTTTTCCATGTCAGTTCCCGTGACTGGGTTTAAATGCTCCAGAACCCGTGTTTATTATTAGGTAAGCACTGTGGCAAAAACATTGGAGTCAGATGCACTGGATTCAAATACTAGCTCCTCTACTTCCTGGCTTTGTGACCTTGAACACTTGTTCTACCAATAAGGATAATAACATTTGTCTTCTGGAGATAACATGCATAAAGAACCAAACACAATCACTGGTAATAGTTATCTTTGTATTATCTAGTGGAAATTCAAAACCCTCAGCTGGTCTTCTAGACTGGTCATTAAAAAAATACCTTTCAAGAAAGAAGCCAATCTGAAAAGGCTACATACTATGTGATTCCAACTATATACCATGGTGGAAAAGACAAAACTATGGAGATACTAAAAGTTGTCAGTGGTTTCCAAGAGTTGGGGAAAGAGAAGGATGAATAGGTAAAGCACAGAGGATTTTTAGGGCAGTGAAACTACTCTGTATAGTGAATACCTGTCATTATATGTAAAATCCATAGAATGCACAATACCAAGAGTAAAACCTAACATATACTGTGGACTTTGGTTAACAATGATGTGTCAATGTAGGTCCATTGTATAATAAAGGTACCACTCTGGTGTTGGATGTTGATGGCAGGGGAGGCTGTAATTATGTGAGGGCAGGGGATCTATGGGAAA